TTCATGCCAGTTAAACTATTGCTTATTGGCATCAGATTAAATTGTTAAAAAAGAAGAATAAGGTTAAGGAAAAAAAAAATCACGAGCTTAACTTTTAGCAGAGTGATCACTTATGTCGCTACACGACGTCGAACGGGACTCACTAAAAATTAAACATCTATAGAGGGTTAATTATTTATAAGCTTATTTACAAAGTTGGAGTCGCCACATAGTATTGAAGGAACTAGGAATCTAAAATAGGCACTAGTTCGTAGATTCTACGGTAAGGAGTTTGTTACACTTTTGGAAAGATATTTAATCACCAAAAAGTGTTCTTTTCAAAAAAAGGTAACATGTGTGGTTTAATTCTAAATTCATCTCCTAAAATGTTAAATTATTTTCTGATTTCTAAACTCCTATCTTTTATAAGGCCAAATTGAAATTTTAATTTTTGGGCGTGGCATCGTATTGAAACAATCGTCGGTCCCCTTCGTTGGGCGACACGTCGGTTCAAACATCGGATCCATTATAAGCCTTGACATAACCGATGTGTTTGAAGACATCCCGATAAAACGATGATTTTTTGTGATGTCGATCCCTATTAGATAGGAGACTTCGTCGAAAATTTTAGATATTTTTTGGTGACATCAATCCCTATCTAGTAGGAAACTTCGTCAAAAATTTCGGATATATTTTTTGGTGAAGTCGGTCCCATCGGATAGAAGACTTCGTCAAAATTATTTTTTCGATATATTTTTTATATATATTTTTTGGTGGCGTCGGTCTCTATCGGGTAGGAGACTTTGCCAAAATTTTAAACTTTTATTATTTTTATTTTTATTTTTTTCAATAATCTAATAACACAAAAATGAAAAAACAAATTAAAACATCAATTAATGCAAGAAGATGTGATGAGAAATATAAAAAGAAATAATTAGGCTAAAAGAGAAAAAGAGAAAAGAAAGAAAAAAATACAATTAAAATATTAAAGGAAATTATTTTGGATCTCATACCCTTAGCTCCATGATAATTTTTCTCTCCTACCTTTTCCTTTTTCTTTTTTTTTCTTTCTTATTTTTTCTTCCCTAATTCTATTTTTTCCTTCTTTTTTTTCTATTACCCCCCTTTTAATATATATATATATTATTTATTTTATTTTTTTGGGTAAAGGGTTCGGCCCGACCCTCCCTTTTTTTTTTAATTTCATGGATCGAGCAAGTCCAGCCCTTGTTCAATGGGGTGTTGGGCTTGTCCTAGCCCACGCTTCTCTTTATTAACTAGGCCGAAAACCTAGAACCAAACCCAACAACAAAAACCTCCCTCATTTTCGATCAAATGGGTTTCGACCCTCTCTCTCTTTAGTTCTTAGCTTGTTCTTCAATTTCTCTCTCTAGTTCTTTAAATGTTTTAGGAAATAAAAACTCATCTTTGATCAAAAGATTCAATTATGCAAAATCGGATCACGAACGAAATAAAAAATAAAAGATTAAAAAGAATGAATAAACGAAACGAGAGGATCAAACCCCGAGAGCTAACCCGGAAACGTTCGAAAAACTTCAACTAGAAAACCCAAAAAAATCTAGGAAACGCGAACCCAAAGTGATGATTTCTCATGATTTTTGAATCCTTATCCTTGACTTCTCGTTTACCGCACCCAACCATCGATATTCTCTTTTAAAACAAAACACAAACGCCTTTTCAATAGACCCAAGGACTCGATGAATCCAACCCTAGCAATGAAGAACAAACCCGGGAAAGCTAACGACAATAATCTACCTAGAAACATGAAGAACGAGAAAATGAAAGAATTGAACCACGAAATTTGGACAAGGAAGTGGAGAAGAACGTGAGGATGTGTATTTAGCCCCCGGAAACACAAAATAAAACACCGAAAGGGACCGATAGCCTATAAACTAGAACCCGTAACCCCAAGAACACAAACCCGGACACCTAGCAACTCGTCACCCTAGATTTTTGAACCTTTTGCTCGATTTTTTCACTCTCTCTCTACCCGAATCCCTCCCCGATTCTATTTTTTTCCTTGTCCGTGAAATCGGACTCTCTTTATAACCACAAATTTCCTTGATTTTCTCCTACAATCAAAACTTCAATCCCGAATTATTCCGTCAAAAATCTCCTCTTTAATTCGGTTAGTTAATCAACAAGGAAAGGGAATTGGTGGTCGCGTGATTCTCTATCAAAATTAATTCAATCAAGAGTCATAATAAATGCAAAATCAAAACAGGAAATTTGGTAGAAGATTTGACAGATTCTTCCAAGGATTTTTCGAAGAGGATTTGGATTTGGAGTCAACGATAAGTCATCCTCTCCATTTCAGTCCTATCATCGGCTCCAACATTCCAATTTGGTCCCTCGTGCACTTTAATTTCAGCAATTATGCCCTCCTATGGTATAATTTCAGTCTTTATAAAGCACAATCCTATCAATTGAGTCCTTATAGGGTGCAATTTAGGTCCCGAATTTTCTAATTGGTTCGATCATACCCTAATTACCTCAATCACATCATACTTTAAATACAATCATGCCCCTGGATGAATATTTTTTGTATTTTTATTATTTTTTCCTTTTTTTTTTTGGTTTTTTTTTCTTTTTTAATAAACTCAAACATGAATAAAACGAAGTAAGAAATAAAAATGAAAAAGAATAAATGAATGAAAGATAGTAAAACAAAAAACGAGTAAATTTTGGGTTATTACAACTTAGTAGCAATTACAACTAAGCATTTGACGGTCCAAGAACATTCATCGGAGCGAGAAAAAAAAATTAGCAATTAAAAGCCTATAATTGATAGATTAATTAAAACATTTGTAGGTGAAAGGAATATTGATATGTGCTAAGAAATTGAAATATTGAATATGCATCGCAAGCATATTTTCGGATGAAATGTCAACATAATAGATTGTTCATAAAATTATTTTTCTTGATAATTCATCATATTGAGTTATCCCATATTGATTGTGGAATAGTTTAGGTGTTGAGTTATAAGTGTAAGAGAACATCTCATTTTTTAAGTTAATTTTTTAGATTGAGAATAAGATTTGATAGCACCCAATACTAATGGCAGAGTTTATAATAAATAATTTTTTATATATCGGTGTCACGAAGTTGATGAAACCTTATGTTTGAAGAGGTGAGATAACATTGATAAGAATAATCGGCTTAAGGTCCCATGTTCCATGAATGGTCAACTTAAGACCCCATATCCCATTCCGCATATGGAGGCCACACAAATTGATGAGATTCGATTTGTAACAAGAGAGAAGGTCGATGAGAATAGTCAACTTAAGGCCTCATGTCTCATGCATAAAGGAGGAGAAAATTATACATAAAATTAAAATAAAACATAGTTTAATTATTCATTTTTACTATTTGAAATACTATTCATACATTCACAAATCATTATTCACACACTCACAAATCACTATTCCTTTCACCATTCATGTCATTTTTTTAACACTTTGGTCCTTAATTTTTTAAAATTTTTTTAATATAAAACTTTAATTGTATTGTGATTTTGTCCCATTTTGTTTTAGTGTTTTTTTAATTATTTTTATTATTTAAAATTTATTATTTTTATTTTTTATTTTTTTAACATAGTCATATGTTATTAATATTATGATCAGATTATAATAATTTTATTTTTCTACACTAAGTATTTACTATTTATTTATTTATGAATTAAATAATTAAAATATTGTTTTGGCTTAACCACCCAATGATTCAAATTAAGATAGTTTTTATTTTAATATTATTAATTCTTTTGTAAATCAATATATAAAAATTAAATTCATATTTTTTTCAAAAATCTATATTCACATCAATATTAAATAAAAATATTATTTGAAATACTTGTTCACACACTCACAAATCACTATTCCTTTCACAATTCATGTCATTTTTTTAGCACTTTGGTCCTCAATGTTTCTTCTTTTTTTTTCAATTTCAAACTTTAATTGTATTCTAATTTGGTCCCATTTTGTTTCAATATTTTTTTAATTTTTTTTAATTATTTAAAATTTACTATTTTTGTTTGTCATTTTTTTAAATATATTCATATGTTATTAATATTATGATCATATTATAATAATATTATTTTTCTACACTAAGCATTTACTATTTATTTATTTATTTTCGAATTGAATAATTAAAATAATGTTTTGGCTTAATCACTCAATGATTCAAATTAATATAATTTTTTATTTTAATATTATTCATTTTTTTGTAAATAAATATATAAAAATTAAATTCATATTTTTTTCAAAAACCGATATTCTTATCAACATTAAATAAAAAAATTATTTATTCAATTCTATATAAGCTTTTAATAATTGTTATTTATGTTTTTTGACACAATCTTATGAAATACTAAAGCTTTTTTTAAAAAAAATATTTAATTTTCTTTTTAGTTAACAATCCGTGGATTAATAAGGATAAATCCTTTTTCTAAAAGAAAAATTATGAAAAACATAGATAAGAAATAATTAAATACAAAATTTTTTATTAAAAAATAATTTTTTATATCTTTGATTTCATATATTTTTGTAGATTCACATCATAAAATAAATTATCAAACTCGAATGATTTCTTTAAATAATTTTATATGTTTTATCCAATTCGTAACGTAACACGGATAAAAAACTAATTGTATATACGTAATATTGATTAGAATAGTTAACTTAAGGCCTAAAGGAGGAGAAAATTATTGAGCTTTCCCGCATCGATTGTGGAAGGATTGATAAGAATATTAACTTAAGGCCCTGTGTGTAAAGAGAGAACATTATTGAGTTATTATACGTTGGTGGAAACATATTGTATTAGTTACAAGGGAGAAGAAAAATCCTATTGGATGTTTGATCATAAATTATAAGGAAAAGTGAGCTAGTTTTTTATCTTAAAAAAGTCCAATAATACCCAACATATTCTACAAGACAAGGCAATCGAACAGGTTCATATAAGACACGAACAATCAACCAAACGAATCTTTCCGAGAAATTCAGGAAATGCCTGCATTAGCACTTCGTACATTCCAAAGTGTCAGATGGAGTACTTGTCCACCGAACAACGTTGTTGTCTGCATCCAGACAGTATCTCCATCTCTTAGCTATCATTCTTTGATATATACAACCGTCTGATACCAATTAATTTCAGGAAGGAGAGGATGGAGATTGCAGTAGATGAAAAGCAAACAACCCAAGAGGTTACAAGCAAAAAGGGTGGCCTTAGGACCATGCCTTTTATTATGGGTAAACTGGCTTTTTTTCTGTACAAGTCCTCTTGAATTTGTTTTAAATGCAAAAGGTTTTCAATTAATTAAGCATATGTTGTGATTGTGTAAGTGTAATGATCTCTTTGCAACATTATTCACAGCTTTATATAAATATATAAGTAGACCTTGAGATCTAGCAAACTTTAATGTGGCATATGATGATTTTAGAGCACATATCTCATGAATTTTGTGAATTTGTTCTTTAATATGCAGCAAATGAAACATTTGAGAGGGTTGCAGGGGTGGGGCTTCAAGCAAATATGATCTTGTACTTACGAAATGAATACAACTTGAGTAATGCTTCTGGGGCCTACATATTGGCTCTGTGGGCATCCATATCAAATTTTATGCCTCTTCCAGGGGCTTTCCTTTCTGATTCTTACTTTGGTCGGTATCGAGTGATTGCATTTTCAACTGTCACCACCCTTCTTGTAAGTAAATTTATAAGTTTTATACTTTTTTGCAGTGATCAATCTGAATATTGTTAATTATTGCTTACAGTATCAACGACAGTCATTGCTATGTTGTTGTTCTATAATAAGCTTGTTTTCACGAATTTTACATGTTGTGTCATTATTTCTTCTCTCAGGGGATGATTCTGTTATGGTTTACAGCCCTTATTCCAAATGCAAGGCCTCCCCATTGTGCGCAAATTAATGGAAATATGGATGATTGTGTATCACCAAAGCCAGGACAGTTTTTTCTTCTTTTTTCCTCGTTTCTTCTAATGGCTATAGGAGCTGGTGGCATTAGACCATGTTCCTTGGCCTTTGGTGCAGATCAGATTGACAATCCCACGAACCCAAAAAACAAGAGGACATTGCAGACCTTCTTCAATTGGTATTATGCTTCTGTTGGAATCTCAATCATGATTGCAGTACTAGCCATAGTAGCAATTCAAGATGCAGCTGGTTGGGTTGTGGGCTTTGGAGTTCCGGTGGTGCTCATGCTCTCGTCAACTATCTTCTTCTTTTTGGGTTCTCCACAATACATTAAAGTCAAGTCAAACAAGAGCTTGGTCTCTGGCTTTGCCCGAGTAATAGTTGCAACTTGGAAGAACAAAAACCTTGCTTTGCTACCAATGGATTCGGCTGCATGGTACTATCTCAAGGGTTCAAAGCTGGTTGCGCCAACAGAAAAACTTCGGTATAATCGTATATCAATTAATATTTTATCTTATTTGTTTTATGCATACTCGGATAGCTATAAATCCTTTTGTCGTCATTCATTAATTTGACTTTATGTAGCGATGATGATGATGACGTTATACTATCAGTACTCTCTGCATTGAAATGTTGATAGGTTATATTTGTCTTTCTGTCCGTCCCAGGTTTTTGAACAAAGCATGCGTCATTAGAAATCCTGAGAAAGATTTGGACTATGATGGATTGGCTGTAGATCCATGGACACTCTGCACCGTTAGACAAGTAGAAGAGCTAAAAGCAGTGATCAAAGTCCTCCCCATTTGGTCCTCTGGCATCATGATCGCAGTGACTATAAACCAATTCGCATTCCCTTTGCTCCAAGCCACCACCATGGACAGGCACTTCATAGGGAGCCTAAAAATCCCGGCAGGCTCCTACGGTGTGTTTGGAATCCTCACTTTGACAATATGGGTTGCCATCTATGATCGAATTTTAGTCCCATATTTAGCGAAGTTCACCAATAGACCTCGAGGACTAAGCCATAAGCAACGTATGGGTATCGGCCTAGTGATCTCATGTATAGCCACCGCAACAGCAGGAGCAGTGGAGAACAAGCGAAGAGCTACTGCATTTAGACAAGGGTTGGAAGATCATCCGAGGGCCGTTGTTGACATGTCTGCAAATTGGCTGCTACCACAACACTGCCTTGTAGGTTTAGGAGAGGCTTTTAGTGCAATTGGGCAGATAGAGTTCTTTTACTCTCAGTTTCCAAAGACCATGGCAAGCATTGCAATGTCTCTTTTTGCACTTGGTTTCGCGGTAGGGAACTTGGTGGCCAGTCTAATAATAGGAATTGTGGATGATGTGACCAAAAAAGGAGGGAAAGATAGTTGGGTATCAAATAATCTGAACAGAGGCCACTATGATTATTATTACTGGCTTCTTTCCCTTCTGAGCGTGGTGAATTTCTTCTATTATTTGCTATGTAGTTGGGCTTTTGGGAGTTGCGAGGATAAAAAGATATGGGATGATGAAGAAGCCACGGAAGAGGTAGAAATGCATCCAGCCGTGGGATCTCCAGTCAGACATGTTGGTCTTTGATTTATTTAATTTTCTTATTAATAAGTGGATTGCCTATGATAATGTCATGTGCCAATGAACAGTATTACATGTATTGGTGAACTGTCTCATAACTTATTTTTTTATCCTCAATTTTTTTTAAAAGCATTTAAACAACAAAATTTTTTTAAAACACATTAAAAAATATTATAAAATAATAAATGTTCATATGTTTTTTATATTTTTCAATACTCGTAATTCTTAATATAATTTAATTCACCATTCAATATGATAAATTAAAAGGATGATACAATTGATTCAATAATTTTTTTTTTAATGGTTTATACTTAAATAATTTAATAGATAGAATCTAATAATCTAATAAATGTTGTTTGAAAAGTTTAAATTTTATCATTATGTTTGTTTTTATTTAAATTTTATTATTATATTTTTTTATTTTCAAATATTATTATTATTACACTTTGTATTATAAAATGTTTATCATAACAAACCTTACAAAATTTGATTTTGTTGCCCTTGACATCTCGAGCAATAACTATTGATCATGGGTGCTTTATGTTGAGTAAATATTTTTTACTTTTCACTTCTCGAATATGCTCCTACGAGTAGCAATATCGAGAAAAAGAATTTAAAAAATATTATGAATCGATTTCATACTTACTCGTTGCTAAATAAAATAATGAGCTATTAATGAAAAATAATAAATCATGCCTAACTGGATCTACTCCATTCCCCGAAATGAATATGACAACTTATAATAATTTTGAGCATAGACAAAGATGTGGTCATAGCCATGGACATGATCGGAATAATTATCATTATAATAATGATGACAATAATAATACATCTCATCACTAGAAGCGAATAAACTATGAAAAAAATAAGAAAAAAAATAAAAATGGCTCAAGTTAGTATTTTAAAAATGAAAGGTATAGGTATGGTATGAATAAACATTGGTTATTTGCACCAAAGCATCTCATTAAGCATTATCAAGCCTCGTTAAAAAAAAAAAAGTAAAAGATAGAGACCACTTTTATATATCAAATAATAGTAATTGAAACCAATTACTTGTTAGTTTTTCTATTTATAAATAAAATATTTTATATTTCTTATAATTTCATTCGTATAGTGATAGTTACAAATTTATTTTGTTATATGTTTATTTATTTTATATTTATTTAATTATTTTTTTTAATATTATATCTGATTGAATCAATCTAATAGAAGGCTCTAAAAAGGTCAATATCTTATTACCTAAAGAGACAAATTTTGAAGGCTCTAAAAGAACGAATATATGATTACTTGAAGAGATAACTTTTAAAGGCTCCAAAAGAACAAATATATTATTATTTGAAGTGATAGAATTTACTGGACTCGAGAAAGATAAATATGTTATCATCTAAAAGGATAAATTTTATTATAAATGATGTAATATTCTTTATAAAGTCTCATATAAATTTATTGAGTTTCAAAGATATTCCTCTAAATTGACATCATATCAAGAACACAAATGTGAAAAATATTAAATAATTATATATTATAATTATTATATCAAGTAGAAAACATATATTAAAAAAAATTTTCGCTTTCTCTTTTGATCTTTATTACAAATATTTAAATGATTGAAACAAATAGTATATTAAACTAGAAGTTTACTAATTTAAATAATTCTATTATATGGCCAGTTAGGTTATCCTAAGTCTTTCATGATGCAAAAAATTATTAAGAATTCATATAGATATCTATTAAAGAGCTAGAAGATTCTTCAATTTAATGCATTTTCATGTTTTGCTTATTCTCAAGGGAAATTAATTATTAAGCCATCACCAAGTAAAATTTAGATTAAATCTCTAATATTTTTATGATGTATTCAAAGTAATATATATAAACTAATTCATTCATCATGTGGATTATTTAAATATTTTATGGTTTTAATAGATGTATTCATAATATGATCACATTTATTCTTATTATCTACTCAAAACCTAACATTTTTTAGGTTGCTAGTTCAAATAATTTGATTAAAATCATAATTTCTAGATTATGTCATTAAAACAATTCACCTTGATAATGCTAATGAATTTATGCAATAAATGATTATTGATTGGTTATTCGATTTAAGGTTGAATAGCCCGTTGCTCCGATTGCTCATATTTATACTCAAAAAGGTTTATCAAAATCATTTATCAAAAGGGTCCAATTAATAGATAAACCATTATTTAAAAACAAAACTCTTTGTTTATGTTTGGAGACATACAATCATATATGCGGTAGCACTTATTCGCATCGGACCTACAAGTTATCACAAATTCTCCTTTCTTTAATTGGTTTCGATTATGAGCCAAATATTTATCATCTAGAAACTTTTAGCTATGCAAGTATATATCCGTATTGCTCATCTATGATGAATTAAAATGAGCACAAAGAGATTGTGAATATATGTTGGATTTGAATCCTTTTCAATAATTAAATATCTTGAACCATGAATAAGAGATTTTTTGTAGCATAATTACCAACTATCATTTTGATGAAATAGTTTTTTCAATGTTAGAATGAGAGAATAAGCAAAATAAGCGAGTTGAAATTATTGAAACAAGAGATTATATGGAGTACTCTATCTTTATATCATCTTCATCCTCATATAAAACAATATAAATTAGAGGTTTAAAAGATAATTTATTTATAAGGTACTGCAAACCAACTGCTAGATGCATTCTCGGATCCTAAAAGAGTAACTAAAATGCATGTTCCTACCGAGAATGCTCCTATTAGAATTAATAAGTACATAATTAGCATAATTTTTATTCTCTATTACATTGAATTTTCTAATGTTTATTGTATTAGATTAGGATAATTAAGATCAAGATGACAATTTTGGGTTTTGCAGGAAAAACGATGAATCGAAGCAAGAAAACCCAAAAACAAAGCAAGAAAGAGAAAAATCACGGAAAAGACTTAGAAGAGTCACACGATCATGTGTGATACAAAAAGAAATAGTGACTAGTCATATGAAACAAAGAAGGAAATCGTATGGATGTCCAACATGATTAACTTTGACCTTCTAGACTTCTTATGGGTTTTCCGAAGCCTTAAAGTTAGATTTGGAAGAAGTGTTTTCAAAGACTTTGTAGAGGATATCTCAATCTTTCTAGAATGATATATTAGGTCACAATCCAAGTTTGTTTATGCCTTAAAATAATATTTCATATTCTATTCTAAAAAGCTGATCCGAATCCCATTTAGAGTCTAGATTAATTGTGGAGTTTAATCCATATCTAGAGTTTCGAACTCCAATCGATATAAGAACAAGCCTATTGAATACTTGAGAGGGATACCTATAAGTATTATAAAGGTCTTGAGTCCAAAATAGGTCATTATCATGGAAACATTCGAGCTATAAATTGGAATCCTAAGGCTAAGAGGACAAGTTTAATCGATGTTAGCATTTTGTTGATAACTAAAGCTATAGATATCCATTGATACAAGCCTTAACGAGTTAGAAATATAAAAAATAGGGCTACAAATTCATGAAGAATGTGAACCCTAATTCAATGTGTGTCAAGTTCATTCAAGCTGATTATTTAAGGACACGGGATGTTCGATGCTTCTTTGTAGCTTTTTTGGCAATCTTGAAGTCATCGGATGAATTATCAAGTAGATAGATCGGATCCGGATCCGATTGTTGCTCCGTGGTGATACAAACTCAACCCACTCCTACCCACCTTAAGGTACTATAGCATGTCGGGAATAAGAGGGGACATAGTAGATGTAATCACTCCATTGGTTCGGGGTTATGCTGCCCTACCTTTCGAATGACACACGGTTGAGTTAGCCGATCACGAACGCTATATGTGTAAAAGCGATCCTAGTCGGGGAAGGCTAAGATGGCACCTCACATATGGGTAGCAAAAGGGCGTTTATGCCTCGACAGTAGTGCCTTTTGATGAAGGGCTCGACCTAATAGGGACATCACACCCCTACTTCAAGCGTACCTCTATATCGACTAAATCACTTTAAGGGTCTAGTCGATAAAATGCAAATTTCATAAAGGTGGAAGCTTGGGATATGGGATTAAGGTAAAAAAATCATACGGGCGGTAGCTAAAGACACAGGATGAAACAATAAAGATATGAGATAAAGTGTAAATGGCACACGACCATGTCCCTTGGTCAAGCAAGTTGTGTGTCCTTACAAACATGCCATGTGGGGTTGCAATGTATGTGTTGTAACCCTCTATGTCATTTTATCTTATTTGAAATTTGAATTGCCCAACTTGAGGCACACGAGCATGCTAGAATTGCTACACAACTTGTTTCCTATGGCCCGTGCCTTATATAAAATCGGTGCAATGCAACCTCGGGGTACACAAGCATGCTTTCTAAAGGTTACCTCGTGTCTCTGCTTTCTTCCCATGTTGCATCTCTTATTGGTTTGAGTTTTTAGCCACAAAGCACACATGAATGTGTTTTCTTACATGTATAAGCTAAACTTCTTTACTACTACTCATGTGGCTTTCCTTCTTACTTGAACTTGTAACCACAACACACACATACTTGCATACTTTTTGACATATACAAATCTGGTTCCTTTATTGGTGTAGTTTTGCTTATGCTTCGTCGTGTGCACCCAAATTAAACTCCTAAGCTCCTATAACATAAATGTAGTAAGGGAGAATAGGGATCGATCCCACGAGGAATTCAATCATGTTAGTCGTCACAAGTCTAGAGAAACATGAAATAAATAAAAAAGAGGGTTTTGATTTGATTAAGATATAACTAAAACTAAACAAATTAAATTCAGAAAATGAGTTTAGAATAAATATTCAAGTAAACAAACCTTGGTTCGGGTAACATCCACTTTTGAAACTTGAGATTTATCCTTGGTGCATGAAATATCGATTCTCATTCAAATATTTGTTATGATATTGAAATCAATCTTTCCTTACGATTAGCCAACTAGAAACATGTATTCTAATCAACCCTCATTATTTAACAACCCTAGATACGATCTAAGATTTAATC